TATTATATATATAATTATAATTATAATTTTATATATAATTATGTCTAAATATCTTACTTCATATTCATTGCAGTACCCGTCGAAGTGCCTGGTGACACTGATCCCGAGGCGTACAGAAAGTGTACGCATCTGCTAAACGAGGCCCGCAAGAAACACACCGTTCAAGAACTGCATGCCGTACAGCTGACTGGTGTCTTACCCATGACTAAGGTGTGTGCTATTGACTTGTTACAATTATCCATGACGAAGATGTGTGCTATGGACTTGTTACGAGTGTGTTGGTGGTGGCCGGTGTAGGAGATAGGTCTACTTGTCGGTCAGTATAGTAGCTATCTGTGGAAACAGCGCCAAAGAATAAGTAGTTTGCGATTTAAGTTACACATAGACGCGGAGGAAGACGTTCATATTGCAACGTGGGGGGGTTGGTATGCGTTAACACTGTAATGTTGAAGAGTACGTGATTAGTTAAGGGTGTTATCTGGGATGTTGTTAGACGACTATTGTATGTGTTGAGAGTGCAGAATGTCCTAGTTCTTTGTGTCTGTGTGTGTTGATAAGGGTGTGTATGTAGTCTGGTTGATTGGTGTATTGTGTTGTATTAGTACATAGTATGATAGTTTAGTAGTCCCCTTGGTTGGTCCTAGTGATGGGACTCTAGCACTGCTAGTTGTTTGTGTCTGTGTGTGTTGATAAGGGTGTGTATGTAGTCTGGTTGGTTGGTGTATTGTGTTGTATTAGTATTTAGTGTGATAGTTTAGTAGTCCCCTTTGTTGGTCCTAGTGATGGGACTTTAGCACTTCCAGTTGTGTTGTATTGTATTAGTATATAGTGTGATAGTTTAGTAGTCCCCTTGGTTGGTCCTGGTGATGGGACTGTAGTACTGCTAGTTGTTTGTGTCTGTGTGTGTTGATAAGGGTGTGTATATTGTCTGGTCGATTGGAGTGTTGTGTTGTATTAGTATATAGTGTGATAGTTGGTTGGTTGGTCCTAGTGACAGGACTGTAGCACTGCTAGTTCCTGGTATCTGTTTGTATTGGCTGTGGTGTAGAGTGTGACTGGTCTATGTCCGTATGAGCTATGCAATCATAAACATGTGTAGGAGGGGAACGTGTGGTATGCGTATATTACTATAAACGTCGCTATGCGGAGAAAGCATATCGAAGCGATTGGCCTGGATGTGAGTACTATACGTATCCTGTCCACCTATTGAATCTAAACCCCTTACTTCACCTCTCCCTCAATTCGTCCGGGGACAACCCTAAAACCCTAACCCATCTCTGATCCCCAACTCTTATTCTGGGACAACCCTAAACCATCTCTGATCCCGAACTCTTCTCCCTACGCGCAGGGTCTAACCGAAGCCATGAACAAGGCTCACAAGCGTTGTGGCAAACTACAGGCACGCATTGAGAAGGATGCGGCGACCGAAGAGAAGGACCGGCTCAGTGAGATTGCGACTGTGGAGAAACGCCTGACTAAAGAGCTGGTACGACAGTCACACTACACGTGGGTGTGGGTGTTGTTTCTATGGGCAATCGTATTGGTATACATATACATGGTTGCGGATGAGTTCAAGTACATAGCTACTGTGAATAGCTCAATGGGGTGCGCTTGCCAGAACGAGCCTGAACGGATCGTATTTTTGCCATTGGTCATTTGTGTGTGTTTGTGTTTATATTTGTGTTTGTGTAGTAGTTCGTATTTGGACAGCGTTTACTTTTTCTATTCAGACGTTATTGGTTATTGTTAATAACCATATTGGTCCTTCAGAACCACTGTGCACAGTCAGTGATTCGAATTTGGGAGCCATGACTCAAGCGATTGCTTTAATTTCCAATTTTTGTTTTTCTTCCTCATTCAACTCAGAATTTCTTGCACAAGACTATGTCAGCCGACAACAACAGCAAACCGCTGGATGAGCGCAAGACCGATGACGTAAGTTCCCAAGTGAAGCTGATGCACTGAAGTGCCGTGTCCTGTATATATATATCTATATATCTATATATTATATTATATATATATATATGTATGTATACGTATAATACATATATACGTACATACATATTTGTATTCGTATATGGATATATATATTGTAATGTATATTTATATACATATATATGTATGTATATATTCAAAAATATATGCACACACATATATATATATATATCTATTCATATATGTATATATATATATTGATTTAGATATAGGTATAGGTATAGGTATAGATACATACGATAGCATATGTGATGTGTATTATTTTTGATATTTCCCGACAACGTTCTCGTGATATCCATCCTGATATTAGTCCACCTGTATCCATGGTAGCATTCATTATGGTGGATGCGTATGGTTTTCTTTTCTTAAGATACCTATTTACGCTTGTTTTCTATAGGAGATTATGATGCGAGCGCGCAAACTGAAGTGGCCGCACTTCAGTGAGTTCGATCGCCTTGTCGCACACCAGCATCTCGAGGACATGAAGGTATGTATGTTATAAGATAAATATGGATATATGGTATCATAATATATATATATATATATATATATTTGGTGTTTAAATTCCTATCTTTATCTATGGATAGTTAGTTT